CAGAGGGATTATTCATTATGAATTTGTACCAACTGGACAAACAGTTAACCAAGTTTACTATTTGGAAGTGCTGAAAAGGCTGCATGAAAAAGTTAGACGACCTAAACTATTTGCCAACAATTCATGGCTCTTGTATCATGACTATGCACCAGCTCACACGACACTGTCTGTGAGGGAGTTTTTTAGCCAGTAAACAACTAACTGTATTGGAACACCCTCCCTGCTCACCTGATCTGGCCCCCAACGACTTCTTTCTTTACCCAAAGATATAGGAAATATTGAAAGGAAGACATTTTGATGACATTCAGGACATCAAGGGTAATACAATGACAGCTCTGATGGTCATTCAAGAAAGAGTTTCAAAATTGTTTTGAAGGGTGGACTAGGCGCTGGCGTAGGTGCATAGCTTCCCAAGGGGAGTACTTCGAAAGTTACCATAGTGATATTCAACCATGAGATACATAGCACTTTTTCCTAGGATGACTTCACAAACTTAATTGTCTGACCTTGCATATAAGTGAGTTTAGAAAAAGGTATAGCTGGATAGGCACTAAATCAGTGGGGATGAAAATAGGGACCAGTTTGGGGGTTTAGGGAATTTTCCTTTATTCCTTACCTACTTCCTCATGGTTTAACTTTTTTTTTCCAACAAGACTATATTCATTCATATATATATATACACACACACTTACATTCAATGAATACACTCTTATGTATGCCCGTAACTCAAAAGTGAGGCACAGGTACCCGCTCTTTCAAGAGTACTACAACATAGACTCCTCTGCTTGAAAATCAAATCTTTGATTAAATAATACAGAATAGAGAGAGAGCTGTTGGAGATTTTTTTCTTACCATTTCCATGGGTGAGACATGCCACAGAGAAACGGTTCCCTCCTCAGCTTCATTGTTTACAGAGACATATGAAGGCTGGTAGACTTTGTTTGGTTCTATCATCAGAACCTAAAAGAAGAACAGATTTCTGTAATGCATAGGAACATGCAACAGAGGTTACCCTGCCTTATGGAAGTGCCTACAGTGTGCCAACATTGCTCTGGGACCTGTGGACACAGCAGCCCACAACAGAAGTCCCTGCCCTCAGGAGGTCTATGCTCTGATGGGGCAGACAGAGGAACAAACAGATGCAGATATGCAATATCCGTATCATGTAGAGCTCTGAAGGAAACAAGGCAGAATAAAGGTGAGTTGGAGGGGGGCAGTTCTCTCAACAGGATAGTCAAGAAAGGCCTGTCTGAGGAGGTGACAGAGAAAAAAAAGGGACGCTAGAGTTTTCGAGAGAAATGAGGAAGTAAACTGATGATCACAGGTAGGTACCGAGTCTGTAAAAAATGCAAAGGGATGAAAAGTCAGGTGATGTTCCATCGGTAATATTTTATTTTGTTGGGGTAGAGGGAAGGAGGGAGGGAGAGAGAAGGAGAGGAGGGATGAAGAAAATGAGGGAAAAAGACAGAGAGAATGAATTTCCAAAGCAAATAAAGCAACATGTTTAAGATTGCTAAACCCTAAGAGATTACCTGAGTGCCTGTTCCGTTATTTTTTTGTACCTTTCAGTAAGTTTGAACTATTTCATAATTAAAAGAAGATTTTAAAACTTATTAGCCGAGAACAAAACCATTATCATAATCATTTCAAGTAACTTAATCTTTTATTAGCTATTTAATGAAATTCTTGAACACTACCTGGTCACAAAATCTCACGGCAGAAATATGAAACACAATTATCTGAAGTTCAGTTTCTAGGATGCTTAGATATCTTATTTATGACTCCTTATAAGATGGTCATAAAATTAAAATAAAAACTCAATGAAAAGATAACAGCAATTTTGCTTTTCAATAAAGTTTTAAAAAGTAATTAGTGGTATTGGAGGCAAACCAAAGCTCAACAGGAAACAGCTTTGAATTCCAAAATTTCACTATTAGTGCTGCATTGTTTTACAGCAGCATTTCTCCACGTTGGCACTACTGACATTTGGGGCTGGATAATTTTGTGTTTGAGGGGTGGGGCTGTCCTGGGCATTGTGGGATATTTAGTGGCACCCCTGGCCTCTACCCCAGGAGCTGTCCGTTGCAACAACTTCCCCACAGTTGTGACATTCAAAAATGTCTCCAGACATTGCCAAATGTCCTCTGGGGAACAAAATCACTCCTAGTTTGAGAACTACTATTTTAAAGAATATAGTATTTATTGATAAAAAATCTGCGTAGAAGTGGACCCGTGAAGTTGAAGTCCATGTTGCTGAAAGGTGAACTGTACTGTATAGCCAGCTTTTTCTAGTGAGTTAATCTATCACTGGCTGATTCTGCATAAGGTTGATGGATATCCTAACATTTTAAATTACTCTAAGGTTTTCTTCCTTTCACACTGTTCAATACTTAGATAGCACCAATCCCCAGTTTCTTTTTTTCTCTTAAAGAAATGTATTTAGCATATCTTACTGGAAATCTGAGTCCATTAGTAACTTCTTTTGTTGCCTCAAAAATTATATCTAACCAGAAGTTAAGCCGTTCTTGCCTGGGTGAACGTTCGATAATGGGTTTCTTGAAGCGCTGAATTAATAACAAATTCTGAACTAATGATCGCAGGTACCTGGAAAAATCACAAGTGCCAATAAATTAGATTCCCAAAGAAACTAAATTCAATTCTATTTCTTTAAAAGAAGCTTCCTGAAAGCTTTATTTACTTAAATTCATATTGTGTCGTGAGTGCTTAATCATTTGGCAGCCACATACTTAATTAAAAGAAACCCAAACAGTGGACAAAATAAGTTTGTCCAAAATCATACAACATAGCTTTTTACCAGCATTGGGCTGAACCTCAATTTTGGTACACAGTGTTCAAAGCACAGACACTGGCAAGCATTTGCTAACTGTCTTAAATAACAAGAGCAAGTTGTTTGAAGTTCAAAGCAATTGCAAAATGACAAAATTTCAAACTCACTGTCTTTTTCTTTTTTAATTCAACTTCTTTTGAGGTAACTGTAGATTTACATAATTGTAAAAATACAATAGAGATCTATGCACCTTTGGCCCAGTTTACCCCAACAGTAACATCTCCCCAAATTCTAGGATAATATCACAACCAAGATACTGACATTGATAAAGTCAAGATAGAAAACATTTCCATTGCCACTAGGATCCCTCCTGTTTCCCTTCTGTAGCCACACCTACTTCCTTCTCACCCCCATCTCTTCCTTGACTCTTGGCAATCATCAAGGGGAAACGTATTGTCTTCTCTTTTTAATAAAACTGAATCTGGCCAGGTAGAGTCTGATGTTATGAGATCTTGAATCTGACCACACCTTTACTGTCTTCAGGCAAATCGAACTTTTTGAAACAGTTGCCAGGCAGTGGTGGTAACGCTTCCTCTGGTACTGAAGGGGGATGGTTCAGCTGAAAGCATCAGAGTATTATTTTGCCCTTTGAGGATAAAGCTTTTACCTATCTTGGGAAGACAGATCAGTTAGACTCTGACTGACTAGCTTAGGCGCTGTGCAGTAAAGGATGAGCAGGCCTGAGTTGTCCAAACTCCGCACATTCCAAAGAAATGTCTAGCCCTTGACTGGCTTCAGGGAGATCACCTTGAGGTCCTCCAGGTATCTTGCCTGATAAGAGTATCTTTGTTTACCTGGGGCCTTGGGCCACGCCAGGTCGTTTATGCTAACCATATCATTCATGTAGGGGGCTTTGGGCCAGGCAGTATAAATGTGATTTCCACAGAGGCTGGGAACTCTGTGATCAAGGTCAGCTACATGGCTGCTCCATGCCCACATGACTGACCCCCAATAAAAGCCCTGGACACCAAGGTTTGGTGAGCTTACCTGGTTGGCAATACTCTGTGCATGTTGTCACAGATCATTGCTGAGAGAATCAAGCACTGTCTTAAGACTTCACCAGGAGAGGACAACTGGAAGCTTGTGCCTGGTCTCCCTATGTGCCTTTTGCCTTTGCTGATTTTAATCTGTATACTTTTACTGTAATAAGCCATTACCACAAGTATAACAACGTTTCTGAGCTCTGTGAGTCCTAGCAAATCATGAGCCTGAGGGTGGTCTTGGACCCACAACAATAGGTATCTACACGATAAGTCAGCCCAGGTGGTGATATAATGGGAATGTGTTCAAGCCTTGGGTCTGCTCTCTGTGGAGTCAGCTAAATTCAGGATTCTGGAAACAGCAGCCGCTCTGGGAAGGTGGAGGCTCAGCCTGCCTTTGCGTTCTCTCAGCCTCAGAAAGCTTGGTTTGGGGACCAAATTTAAGTCTTCCAGACTGGGAAGAAATGGGGTCACACTAGATATGACTGGAGAAAATCCTACCTCTGGGAGTGCAGATTGGCCCGCTGGGCTGGGAAATGAGAGGGGGCAGAAGAACATGGGTTGTTAAAGCAAAACATTTTTAATTATGCAAGTAATCCAAATGCACTTTGGACAAAGCAGAAAACGGAGACAACGGGGAAAAAAACTTATAAGGCTATCACCCTGAGATAACCACTGCCAATATTTTGGAGAAAATCCATCATTCATTATTTATTTATTCATTACACAGTTATCTACCGGGCATCTGTTATGAGACTATAACAATTAATAAGATAATCAACATTCTAATGGAGCTTCATGGAAGTCAGACATCGCAACCCACCCAGACTTTTCTGTGAGTCACAAACCAAGCACATATTTTTATTTAAAATGAGTCCATACAGAACAGTGGTTCTCAAAGTGTGGTCCCCAAGCCAGTAGCATCAGCTTGTGATTTGTAAATGCAAATTCTCAGACCCCACCCTAGACCTTTTGAAACAGAAATCTGAAGGGTGGGCCCAGCAATCTGTTTTAATCAATGCAGGTGATTCTGATACATGCGAGAGTTTGAGAACCACTGAAACAGAAAAGTATACCCTACAGCTGGCTTTCCTTATTCTATGATAAACCATAAACACACTTCCATGTTTCCAAGTATTGTTTCTTGCACATCTTTAATGGCTGCGTCATGGGCTAACCTAGGGCCACTGCTGTGCCACATTTTCTCGACCCTATTATCTATTACTGTTTTTTTAGTGCCAGTCTTCATTTGTGATGAACATCATTTTCTTGCTGTGCTTTTAAGCTCTACTATCTGCTTTTCACAAATGCGCAATACATGCTAGTACCAAGGAATGTTTTACTCATGAGGACCTAGACGACCTGAAGAAATGAATAGGAATGAGGGTTGCGTCTTGGAGCTATAGCACGGAGGGGTATAGTCTGTGTGCATGTGTATGTGTCTGTCTTTCCCTCTCTCCCTTCATAGAAAAGCAAGTGATCCCTCACAGCTGTTCCTTTGCCCTAACTTTGCTGTAATGAAGATGTCAGAAGGAGAAACACGGCAGCTGTTAGTGTTTTTTGCATTTACACCATTTCTCCATAGTAGAAACATTTCAGAACAAGATCAGATGTTGAGATGGAGGATAACAGTGTGCAGATCCAACTCACCCGACTGGAGGTTTCAGTTTGAACAACCTCTCTGCTGCCTGCACGGCCTTCCCGACATCACTGGCCAACATGCTGACGTTGAGGAAGTGGCCCACGTCCCAGTAATTGTTCATTTTCTCCAAGCTCCCTTTTCTTCCTAACAAACTGCTCAGCTGGACACCTTAAGAATTTGAATGGTAGATAAAGTTATTAAAAAAATTTCCAGTGTCTATCATATTATGCAAACCTTTAGCTAGAAGGGAAAGTGAGCCTTCTCTTTTGGCTACTGTCTCAGGTGTGCCATCGGAGAGTAACTGCTCCTTTTGAAATACGATGCTAGTTATTTGAACATAATATTTAATGCTTGTGTTGCCAAAGCATCAACATCTGCAATAATAAATAGCTTTACCTATTTTCCTTAGTTCCATGGATGTTTCAAATTGTTGTCCAGAAACTATCAGCAAAACTGCAAGGTTAATTCCTGAATAAAGAGATGACTGGAGCTCAAACCCTGTGCGATACCTATAATTACAGAACCACCAAATTCTTATTATAGCATCTTATTATGGTAGAATAAAATAATGTGTAAATAATGGTACAAACCAACCCTCTCATGGAAATTTTTACTACTCTCATCTATTGGTTTTCAGCTTCCTCCACGGCCCACCTTTACAAATAGCTACATGCAGAACTCAAATAGTTTCTTAAACGTGTCTTAATTGCAGCACAGTAAATTACACTAGGGAGTTTCAAATTTTTTTCTTCATCAGTTTTTAAAAAAAAATAAAAACCATACTCTTCATATAAAATAATGAAACTATACTAAGGTGTACGAAAGAAATTTAAAACCTATTGTAATCTGACACCTCCAAGGAGACCACAATTTGATGTCCAAATCTCCTTTTTAGAGTTAGACTCCACTTGTACATTGAACATTTTTTATTACATGGAAACTGCTTCAATTATGGGCTATTTCCCTGTAGGTCATTTGTTTGTTTGTATCACAAAATGGAATCATTCTTTCACGTACGAAGCAGTATTGCCGGAATCCTGGATCTCTAGGAGCTATAAGATCAGTAGCATAAAGTGAGAGAAAGTGCAGGGACCTACTACATTAGGGGAAAAAACAAGATACGAAACTGGGAATATCATTTTTAAACTAAAAGGTTAACAGTGCCACTTTAAATTCTCTTATTAATTTTTTATTCTATACATTAACTTTCTTTCTATTCCATGAGTGAATATGGCTATCATGATCAGAAAAAAGAATATGATCAATGAAGTAATGACACAAAAATGTCTTTAGGTGGCACAGTCCATACCAAGGACTTGTAAACCAGGAGTCATTTTATCACTGCTGTGACAACAAGAGAACTAAAACACCAACAAAATATGAATTGTGGAAGGGAGAACTTATCAATTAAGGCAGTTAAAATCTGGTTTGATGAACTTTAGGACATAACACAAGAACCTGAAATGGACCAGAGGACACTAGCAAAGTCCTTTCAACCCCAGCCAACAAAATTCCAATAAAATTGAAACCTTTTTCCCCTGTATGTTTTGGGGATTTTAAATTCCATATCCCATTGTACTTGATTTTTTTCATTTTCTTTTACTATGAAAAGTTACTGGGAAGAGGGCAAACAGGGTGACTTCTCTATGCTAGTTATCCATAAAACAAACAGGCTCAGCTTGAGGGCAGACAAGACTTGAACTCGGAGTCAGGACCGCAGCAGTCCCAGGTTTGTCTCTGACCAGCCCTCCACCTCTCTAAGCCACATGTTCCACATCTGTACCTGAGGGCCTGCATTAGCCTATCCCCAAGGTCTCATGGGAACCAACTTGCCCTGACCAGAAGGCTAAGCCTCATTTCCTTCCATTGCCATGGCCACCACCTTCTGAAGTGAATGGAGAAAGGCTCCTATAACTTTCTTGAAGGAGCCACAGGTAGTAACTTCCTGACCTGGGGGTTGAATTCTCAGACATCATGGAGGAACACAGCTTCCTATTTTGGCTGTATCAAATGTTCATTTCCCTTCCTTACTCTTCCCTTCAACACCCTGGGTGACTCCTCTCTACCATATAGTGCATGAGGTACTACTAAGGATTAACTAAGACTAACAAAGGGTCCTTGACCTCCAAGAACCTATACTATGGTGGAGGTGATAAGATCCACACACAATTAGTGGAAATACAAGTGCAAGTGTCATAAGTATCCTGAAACCACACAAATCCAAGTCTAGAAGGACTCACAGAAGACATGAGGCCAGCTTGAGAGGCTGGAGATATGGCATGAAGATGGATAGAACTGTAATAGCAGAGATTTCGAAAGGGAACCCCCAGCACAGAAAATGGCGGGAGCAGAGACGGGCATTTGCAGAGCTCCTAAGCAGCTTCAATTTAGTTGGACATATATCAGGTCATGGGAAAGAGGGCTAGAGGTGGGTTGGGAAAGTTTGCAGAGGACCTGCAATGATTATCTAAGAGTCTGAATTTTTATTTAATAGGGATTGGGGGGCCATGGTGGGTCTTTGAGCTTTAGGAGAAATAAACTGTCAATCTATGAAGGATACGCTGAAGAGACATCAAGCAGGGAGCCTACTTAGGATGCTGTTAGAACATTCCTGGCAAGAAAGGAAAAAAAAGTACTGATTGGGGTGGTGGTGATGGGAAAGGACTGGCATGCAGTGAGGGGAGATTCACAGAAAGGATGGAGTTGGGAACTGATTGTATGGGAAGATGGAAAAGTGAAAGTTATCAAACATTAACCAACATTTTAAGCCTAGGAGGCTAAAGGATGGTGGTAAGAAAGCAAGACTGGAAGCCATACGCTGTGGAGATGAGGAAATGACTTCAGCCTTGGACATGTCTTGTCTTAAATACCAGCACCATCTTGAGGTAGAACAGATGGGCAACGAGTGGGCAATGTGGGGCCACAGCTTAGGACAGAGGTTGAGCTGGAGATCCCCAGCTAAGGGCCCCAAGGTGTGGGACTGGCTGGGATCACCCCAGGGAAGAGTGTATAGATGGACAGAAGAGGGTAGAGGACAGAGCTTCCAACGTGTATGGAAGGAGAGCAAAGAGAGAGAGGGAAGCGGCAGTTAGAATTAAATGAGAGTGGAACAGCAATGCCAAGAGCTCTTGTGATGGATCATGTGCTCTGTTGGCTCTACCTTCAAAATATGCCCAGGTTCTGACTTACCATTTTCATCACTACCACAGTACTTCGATCCACCATCAGCTTTCCTCTGAATTATTTCAACAGTCTCCTGTTCCCTGCTTCTGCCCTTGCCCCTGCAGTAAATTGTTTAATGGCCGTAAATTCCTCCCATCCCACTATGCACGCACCTTTGAAATGTGACTTTGCCATTTCTCCCACCCACAGGTGGAGTCTATTTCTCCACCCCCTTGAATTTGTGCTGGCCATATGATTTGCTTTGACTAACGGCATGTGACAGAACGGACCTTGCATGAGTTCCTGATCCTAAGCCTCAAGGGGCTTTGCAGCTTCCACCTTCTCTCTCTCTTAGAATATTGCCTACCATGTAAGAAAGCTGGTCTACCAGGATTAGAACCACATGGCAGAGAATGGGAGGCTCACCCTGCAACACCCAGCACCAGCTGGCTAATGTGAGGCCATCTTGGACCCTCCAGCCCCACTAGACCCTCCAGCTGACTGCAGCTTTAGGAGTGAGCCCAGCACTTCAGAAGCGGAACTAGCAGAAGCTGCCTGGCCAATCCACAGAATCGTGAGAAATTATAAATCACTGTTTTAAGCCACTAAGTTTTGGAGTTGTTTGTTAGGCAGTAAGTGCTAGCTGATATACTCTCTAAAATGTATTCCTTTGCGTAACAGTGAGAGTGCTCCAGTTAAATCCCATGTCAGATCTTGCTACTCCTCTGCTCAGAACACTCCAATGCTGTATCATCTAACTCAGGGTACAAGAGTTGCCTTCTCTCCCATTTCCTGCCATTCTCTGCTTGCTCACACCTACCATCCCTGAGCATGCCCAGCATGCTTCCTCCCCAGGGTCTCTGCCCTTGCTGTCCCCTCCCGCTGGAACACTTTCTCCACAGTTATCTGCAAGGCTCATTCCCTCACTTCTTCATTCACTTTCACTGACCACCCTACCTAAAATTGCAGACAACTCCTTCAAGCCCTCCTTTTCCCCCTCCCTGCTTAACTGTCCCCCACCATCGACTCACATCCTATATATTTTACTGTGTTTATCTGACTTCTCTTACCAGCAATGCAAGGTTCATAAGGGAAGGGATTTGTGTCTGCTGTATTTCTATCCCCACCATCTGGAAGGGTTTCTGGCATACAGTCAATCCCCAATAAACAATGAGGAAATAAAGGAATGAACAGCTCACTAAGAAGATAATGCCCTGACAGTGGCAGAACAAGGTTCTAGAAGGAGTAGCTGCACCTCCTTCTTGCCCCTATAAATGAGTGAAGTTGTGGGGAGAGTGTCACCAGTAGAAAACCCTGATTCCAATGGTCTCCTTTGGGCAAAAAGAATGTGGAAATTCCCAAACCACATGTATGGTGTTTTCCTTCACCGCCAGCAGACAGACAGGCAGACAGGCAGGCAGGCACACGCACACGCACGCACGCGCACACACACACACACACACGAAAAAGACCTGGATCCTTAGCTACTGCAATTCTGTTCTTTGCAGAGATGCACATGCTACTGACTAGGGATGAGGGTTTACCACTCAATGGCACTGTCCCGGCTGTAGTCATCTTTGCAGTCTGAATCCAAAAACATGTCCTTGTAGATCCTTCCACACAGGCAGAACATGTCGGGGGCCGGGCGGTCACAGCTCTGCATAACCTGGAGCATGATCTGTAGAGCCATCTCACGGTCACCTGTGCTGTTTCTCCTGAAAGGTTTATTTGATAAGATCATTTACATCTGAATCAAGACATGGGAGTACATATGCATTCATTCTGTGAGGGGCTGGGTGTAACGACGCTGTGCTTTAGCAGGAAAAAAACCTAAATTGTATTTCAGTTTTCATATTCAAATGTACCAACTGCTTAAGAGCCACACCAGTAAATCCCATACAATCATACTCACTCCCTACTTGATCCCTTCTCTTTAAATTAGACCTAAATTGTGGATGAAAGCATAAGCAGGTCAATATTTGGAAAGACAGCAAAAAATAACATGGCAGCCTCCTGTAGCTGGATGGAGAGCAAGGACTTTAGGAGCTAAGCCTAAACCATGAGAATGAGATAGTTTGATAAGAAGCTCTTTGGAAAAGCAGCAGGGCTCCCAAAGTCAAAGCCAAGACGAATTTAGAGATGTATCTTGGCATTTATTGACCTAAAATGCCTTGCCATCCTCCAACAGCAAAGGACCTTAGTAATTCCTCTTTTCCCATCTCATGTTACACCTACTGGAACAGGAAATTTAGGAAAGTATTTCTATATTCATGAACCACCGTCTTCTCTATTATTAGATTCTATGGCAAAATTTTCACTTTATATACAGGAAATGGATTCCTTAGACAGTTGTTAAAATAATTTTTGCCACAAAATAACCTGAGTTTCTGGCTGTGAAATATTAAAAGTGCTCTATGATGGTTTGGAAGCAAATGTCCATCAATAGTGGGGACTGAGTAAATCAACTACAGCTAATGATATTCACATTCATATTATAAATTATTAAACGTGTAAAAAATGAAACAATTTCTATATAACACTGCTATGGAGAGATCTCCAGGATATATTGTTAAGACAATGCAGCAAGGTGTTGACTATCATGCACAAAATGCTACCTTTCATTTAAGAAAAGGGGGGGTGTGTGAATAAATACATGTATCTGCTTTTATTCCTTAAAAATGGAAGAATACACGAAAAGGTAATAAAAGCAGCTACTGATAGGTGGAGGGAGAAAGGCATGATGAAGGGAACAGGGATAGTGGTCATATTCTTAGAATTTGGCTTTGAAAATACATATGTTTTTTACATAATTATAAAAGAAAATGAAATATATTTTTTTAAAAAGTATTCCCTAAAAACACTGTATGCCAATGAATGTACCACATGAAATTGTGGTTGGGGCAAAACAAATGATGAACCTACGCCACCTGGTTGATGGCTTACCAACAAAAGAGAAACTAATTTATATGCTTTTAAAACACAGCAATTTGACTGTAGTTTGTCTAAGAGATATAACCTAAGGCAAAATATAAATGCAAATCTTAAATAGTTTCCAGTAACTATATTGTTAGTGATAATACTGGTACTGGTATTTTGAAAATATTATGTATCTATAGTATAGAATACAACAAAAAATGCTAATATCATTAGGAACCAGATTTTTCAGCATAAGAGATACAAACATAAGATCAAGGACGGAAAAGTCCTATAGTTGTACATTTGAATTGGAACATCAGCATGAATTCATGAACTGATTTCCTTAGCTCTGAGAACTAATTGCTATTGGGGGATTCACGGAACTCTTGCCCTAGCTGATCTCAGATGAGAGGAAGGGGTCTCGAGCTCTGCCTGGAAGACTATGTTGGCTTCTTTGGTTGTGACTGGCAATCTTGTTGGGGTATCCTCTGTATCCCCAAGGTCCCTTAATGAGGAAAAATAGATTTTAATTAATAAATCTGTTAGCTCTCATGAAGCCTGTGGCCATTGAGCCTGTCATTCAGGTGGCGTCAGGTGTCTGATCCCAGAATGGGTTTGGGGTTTGGCATTTAGCTTACTGGCCTGGGGGATATTAGGAAGTCACAGGCTTTCAAGTAGTTATCTGAAGCAGGGGTAGGAGACTTCTATTGTTTAGTATTCAGAAACTGATTTACAAAGCAATCAAGAAGCAGGGGGATAGGAAAATTCTAGGATTCAGGCTAGGGGCAATCTTTAGCCTAGGATTCACAGACTGCTGAAAAGAGTAATCAAAGCCAGGGACAAAGAAACTAAGACACTAGGGAGGAGACTTAACAGTTCTATACTTAACATTTCTATAGGAAAGAACACTTGAAAGTTTCTCAGTGGTGGGGGTGCTGCTTGGTTGGCTGGTAACATTACCACCTCAGTGAGAACCTCCACACCCTGCCTGGGGTCTGAAAATATCCTCACTCACTAAAAGGAACCAGGACTCCTTGGAGAAATGACGGATTCCAGATATGTCTAAATGATCCTGAACATCTTAACATACAAAAAAAGCAAAGTAGCTTACTAAGCTTATATCAAAAAGACTCAGAAACCAATCTGAATCAGTTTTTGGCCAAAGAGGGGACAATTTGAGCATTAAGAATAAGAATAACTATACAGGATTGAAACACATCAACTATGTTAAAATGAGTTCATAATAATCTTATAAAACCTCACTGGTCACCTTTTGAGGATGCTAAGGAACCAACTCATTGTTTTTGAACTGATAAAGGCAAAAACCAAGCATATAGCCTCCTTTCCCCATACAAACTGTACACCAAAGTAACTGTCATCGATGAGGGGAAATTTCTCTTTAGAAAGTATTTGTGCTAATAACTCAGGGATTAATTATAAAACTCAAATATCACTATTTTATGCAACCCCCAGTAAAGTAATGGATCTAGGCAATGATTGTCAAGGGCTGCTAGCATCACAAAAAGAGAGAAAAAAAAACAGATAAAATACACAATCAACTATTAAGTATTGTTTCAAAACAACAACAACAAACCAGAATCTGAAATAAGTGTCCAAATCTAACTACCAACTTACAGAGGGAAAAGGGCATAGCTAAATCCAGAACTTTGGAAACTCTCCAGGACAAATGCTTCCTCAACAAATAAATAATAAGGAAAAGAAAAAAAAATAAGAGAAGGGGAAACCTCTATACTAAAAAACACTGAAGAGTCAGATTAACCAAATGCAAAGCATAGACTTGTCCTGGTCATGATTCAAAAAACCCACTGTTAAAAAAAAAAAAGGAGACAATTGGGGAAATTTGAACACTGATATTAAGAAATTATTGTTAATTTTTAGGTATGATAACATAATCACGATTATGTTTACAAAATTATTTTTAGAGACACATACTGAAATATCTATAGAGAAAATGGCATGTCTTTGCTTCATAATAAATCCAGTGTTGGGGTATGAGGGCGTGGGTGGGGGGTGAGCACGATGTAACAAAACTGGCCGTGCAGTGATAATTACTGAAGTGGAGAAAGGTTCAGGGGGTTCATAATATTACTCCCTACTTTGAATATACAGTAATACCTTGGTTTGTGAGCATAATTCGTTCCAGAAACAAACTACTTGCATTGCAAGACATTGCTCATTTACCATGTTAAATGTATTAGAAATGTTTGCTCATCTTGCGGAACACTCACAAACCAAGTTACTTGCAATCCAAGGTTTTACTGTATTTGAAATTCATACAATGTAAACAACAAATAAAAGGTACACATTCTGATTCAACAATTCTACTTCTAGAGTCTACAATATAGAAATATACGTATTCAATAATTTTTGAACAAAGATGTTTGTTATGGCATTGTTTGTAATAGTGAAAAACTGGAGGTAATCCAAATGTCCATTAACAGGAGAATGGTGAAATACTCTATTTCTGATCCGTAGTTGGGAATCTGAAGATGCAGAGGGCAGATTTAAGTTTTACACAGATTTTTGGCTGTGCAGGTGGCCAGCACCCCTAACTCCTGAGTTGTTCAAGGGTTAACTAACTGTATTTTATAACAACGAAACTATGGAGTATCAAGTAACCCTTAGAAAGAGGCAGATCTGTAAGTAATTATATAGAAGAATGTCCATAACAGTTCATGGGGGAAAAAACTGCTGAGCTAAATAAATATCGGGTTGTTGGAAAAGTCATGATGTGTTTTTCTGTTTTTCATTGCAAAAATGTGTCATGACTTTTCCGACAACCCAATAGCATGATCCCATTTTTTGTAGTAAACACTATTTACATATATGTTTATGTGCATAGACAAAAATCTGGAAGGATACACATTAAATTGTTCAAAAAATCATTGCTAGGATTTGTACAAGGTGTTCCTGTGTATACTTTACTAATAACTATTCTAATAAATAAATAAAGAGATTACTCTTTTTAATTTCTTGGCAGTTTTATAACAGGCTCTTTTATGCTTTCTTTCTTGAGGACCTGCAAGTCAAAAAACCACTGCATCATCCAAGAAGAGTGATTAGTACCTAAAATAGCCTTTCTCAACTAGGGTTCGTCTAGAGAATTAAGCCCTGGAGAAAATTATTTGATAATCTGAGTGACTATTTTCTCTATTCTCCCCCAAATGGTACATAGCTAGTCCCATTCTGTATGCATATGAGAGTTCATTCAATTGATAACAATGGATGCCTTAGGGCATTAGGGCTTAATTCTCTTGTGGAACCCAACCAGGGTTGAGAAAGGCTAATCTAGACATTTGGTGTTCTGGAAACTTGCAACAACAGTTAAGCCTATATTTCAACTCTGACTTTCTCTGTTTTCTTCCTTGGTCTTGTTCTAATATATTTGATCTTTCCTCTCTTTGTCCAGAATCCAATTTTACCAGCCTGCAAAACAGATCTCTTGATGGAACAGCTCACCCATGATATTCTTTAATTTTTAAGAGCCAACAGTTATCAACCCAACTCAAATTTACTAAAGCCTTTAAATAATTTCTAGAGTCTACGGTGAGAAAGTAAAAAAGATTAAAACTTTAATGAGGTACAAAATTTCTACATCTATTATGAGCCAACTTTTGAGGTGTGAAATATTCAGGATTCAGAAAAGAATGTACTTAAGTCTTTTAAATGCTTAATTATTGATATGAGTTCAGGTTTGTTCGGTTTTCTTTGGACCAATTACATCAACATTTTCCTCAAATTTTTCATTAACTTGAAACTTACTCTTGTTGCTCAAAAC